AGCTTGTTATGGAGAGAGGTCAGGGTTCGGAAAATGAGGGTGTTGGGAAGATGATGAATAGAATGCTATTTATTATTGGGGCAGAGTTAGAGTTTGTATTGAATATTGGGCCCAACATTGGGCTTTTAAAACCGGGCTAGTAATTAAATCGACTTAGGCTCGATTTAATCAACGTTGACTTAGGAAATAATTTCTCGGCTAAAATTAATCGAACTCGGACTAAATAAATTAGTCGGTCGAATATTACTAGAATAATTGGGCTCGAATAAATTGATTATTCGACTCCCGCCCGCTTTAATGAGATTTTCGATCATTCCAAGGCTCGGTTTTAAAAATAGAACTTGGGCTAAATAAATCCGACTTTAGTAATTAAAATCGAATAAATTCTGCATGGCTTAGAATTTAATGCTAATTATTCAATTTAATGCAACTAATAATAATAAACGCATCAAATTAGGAAACTTGATATTTATGAAAATAAAGTCGAGCTCTATAAATAGTAAATAAAAATTATGGGCGTTACATATATGGTGTTCTGCCCTCCCTCTTTGACTATAGGGATAGCAGGTTCTCCGAATTCTATTGATCATCTTGATGTAGGGTTATCAAAGTTTATCAGCATAATAGAAAGAATAAGCTATTGGGTAGGCATTCCTAGCTGCAAGAACGTCCTTCCCTAAGAACTGTCTTATCTTTCCCCTCTCTTTCAAGGGCTCAATATGGAGTCTTCGTTGCATCACCGACATGCGCTTCTCAGTCCCATCGTTTTTGTGGTCAGGGTTATATGATTGTGACAAGATACTTTCGTAACCCAACCAACGCGCGCCCCAGTAGTCTCGGTCTCCTTCCTATATTGCTTTAGGGAAGATTGACCAACCGATTTTCTAGATCAATGACCGACTTCTGGTACTCATCGTATACTGATCGTCGTAAATGGACTAGGTCTCGGTTAATTACTGCGTACTCTTAACCCGTAAGATATAAAACAGGCATATACGTGTAGTACTTATTACCTTGATTCACATGGGTGAGGCTTTGTGAACTGGGCCAATATACCCACTGTCTTGGGTAATATTGCTGCATGTAGGATGTGTTGTTAGGATATTTACGGTCACCATGTGTGTTAGTTTGATGATGTCCCCGAAGTGAGTTCATGAAGGAATATTATGCTAAACCCTGCAGGTTAAATTCCGGCATAATATGAATGAGATGAAAGAGCGCTAGCTTCGGTGAAATAATAATAAATTAATTAATTCTTGATTGTCAGTGATCGAATTAATTAATGGACATTATATCTTAAACATATAGAGATAAATCGATTAGTTATTATTGGAGTCTCAATTGTAAATTGGGCTAGGAAAAGGGAGTGCAATAATATTATGTTGGTGGACCATTTAATATTATTTGATTAATTAAAATAAGTGGATTGGTCCACAAGTATTTTAATTAATTAAGAAGCCCTGATCCTAATTTTCTAAGGATCTCTGTTGTAGCTCTATATATACATCATTAAGCTCATGTGAAGAGAATACATGATTCATAAATCACGTTATACACGTCGCCCATCATCTTCTCTCTCTCAGTTCCCATTTGAGCTTTATCTTCTTCATGTTGTTCCACCGGTACAAGATTAAGAGGTGTTTGAGACATACAGTAGAAGATCTGTAGGTAAACCGAGACGAAATATATTTTATCGTACAGAAATAAACGGATGTCCGATCAAGACGTGCAACATACCCAGACGACCGTCTCAACGAGAGCTTTCTAAAGCAGCTGAGATCGCCATCGTCCGACGCCGCATGCGCCCTCACGGGCTACCAGAAGGTCTCAAGACTGCAAGCTTATTTTCATCCGTTTTGCACCCGTTTAATCCGGTTTTCGATCAGATCTGGTTCGTGCAACCCTAGGACACAATTTGCAGTAACTATTCATTGGTGTACTGTGTACGACTATCCAGAAGATCAGTTAGATCGCCATAAATTTTACGCCGTAATCTACGCAAACCTTCAGATCCGTTGCGCATATGTTTATGTTTGCTATTGAATTCGTGATTTGTACATAACGAGATCCTCATAGATCCCAACACATACTACATGGAGATACTTTTAGCCACGAAGGTTGATCTCATTGCGTCGTTCTAGTAGTGTGGTTCGGTGACCAAAGCCTCCGTTGTGGACAGATTCAGGGGGAAAGGCCGGTTGTCTTTGGATGAGGCTGGTGCCTGGATTTGGGTGTTGATGTCTACCACCTTCTCCGTTGACAAGAGTGGTAGTAGAGTGAGCCCCAAACTCCTGCAAGAGGTGCTTCACGGTTTGGATACAATTGAGACTTACTCATGGGGATCAGCTACACTGTCATACTTGTACAGACAGTTAGGTATTGCCAGCAAAGGGGACTCACATGGACTGTCTGGCTGCTTGACTCTTCTGCAGTCGTGGATATATGAGTATTTCCTCGATTTCTGACCCCAGGGGCGTCTACCCATCGGTCCTGACGATCTCGGTCGTGGAGCGTAGCGGTGACGCCAAGGTCAGAAGATCGTCTCACATCTATCCGTCGGCGTCTTGACTGACTCACTGCCTCTGTTGTACGTTAAGTTATTTTATTTAAATTTAGTTACCCGTTCATTAAAATAATATAATTATTTTTATAAATGTTTTTATGCAATTGTGAGGAGGTGCAATGGTTGCCATACGGCAGCTCCAAGCCAGATTTGATAGAGTCGATGACTCTTTATTGCAGATGATTTGGTACCGCGATATTGTCGAGTCGTTCTTGCCTCTGCGGTTTCTGCGTCAGTTGGGGTTTATCCAGACTATCTCCCCTTATGGTCCCGCCAATCACTGCCATACGTGTTTGGAAGTCGAAGCTCTACAAGGTTGAGCATTCTGATGTTGATGTAGTAGGTTCGTGGAACCAGTTCCCGATGTCGTAGACTGTCTACACCAGTATGTTGACGGTCAGCACACATGATCAAGGGGAGGCGACTGCGGAGTACTTGCAGTGGTACGATCAGGTTTCCCATCCTATTGTCTTGGGCGAGAATCTGTTGGACGAGAACGAGGTCCCTACGCGTGCCAATACCAACTATGTACTAAATGTTTGTAATATTATTTGATTACAATCATTTTTTAAAATAAAAATTTATTATGTCTTTTTATTCTTTCATTTTTTGTAGTGGATGGACTGTGATTTGAGCATTACATCGGACTGTGTGCGGAATTGTGCAGGTGTTGATCCTCTAATGGCGGCGCAACGCAGAAAGATTGGCTAAACTTAAGTTGGATTACGACAATGCGCAATAATGATATAATTAATGAATGTGCTTGTTTTTAAAAAAAACATTAATGGGATTAGCAATTTTTTTTAATGCATTACTTAATTTTGGTATACTACATTTGAACTAAAATATTTCATAACAATAAAAAAAGGACAACCGTACAATATCGTTCTTTTATTCAACCGGGTCTATTTTGAGCATCAAACCACAATTGCAACCTAGCCCGGTACAAATTCTCCAACCCTTAACCGATTCAGTTATGTTACTAGACCACATACTATGAATAGACGGTAATGGACAATCATGAGTCACATCTACATGAATGTAGTGTGTGTAGAAACCAAGAATGACACATCACAATCTCACGTCGTGGTCCTGTAGTCGTTGATGGTGCAAAGAGCGGCAATATGGTGCAACTGAACTGGTTGAACTGACGACCATCGAGACCAGAGCCTAACAAAACGACAACCACATTAAATAGTGTTGCAACATGGTAGAGGTCGCATGGAACTTCCATCCAGTGACCCTGGTCACAAGGGCCCCCATCCCACCGCTCGTCGAAAATCGAGAATTTAGAGAGCTAGATTGAGTAGAGAGAAGTTAGACAAAATAGGTTGATGGCGAAATAGTAAAAAATGGCAGTACGTAGTAACAAGGGACGGTGAGTAGGGACTTACTTTATATTTTCTAAACTGCTTTCGTACGTAGATTAGTAAATAGCTTTTCTATTTTTTTTTTAGTAAATAACTTTCAGGGAAGACACTTTTATAAACTATTTTTTTTACTTTATATAAGATAATTACATAATTTCCCCAACAATAAGAATCACATCCCGTCCCCCGGGGCGTAGCGCAGTTGGTGGGATGGGGGGCCGCAAGTTCACTTGCAAGCACAGGGTGGCGGGATCGAAACCTGGAAGGAGCAGATTGCAGATACCTGAAGTGGTCGGCCCGCTGGTCGCCCAAGAGTATACAACTTTGGACTAACTGAAAGCCACTGTCGCAAGTCTTAGATTTAACTCTCGAAATCACTGTGGAGCCGGGGATTAGGACTAGGGATTGACTGCAACTCTGTATAGTAGAGCTGGAACCCTATGTATATATAAAAAAAAATCACATCCCGTCGTCAATTTGGTATCTATCAAAATCCAACGACGACAACATAAAAATGTCCATCCCCACGTGCCATCCAACGGCCTCGGATCCCCGCCATCGACATAAACCATAACCTATAAATACGCAAACCCTAAGGCTATGTTTGGTAAAACTAGCTGATAAGCTAGCTGATAGCTGATAAGCTAGCTTATAGCTTATATGTAATTTTTGAGCTTATAGCTTACAGCTTATAACTTATAGCTGAAAAGCTAGCTTATATGATAAAAGTGTTGGTAAAATTAGCTAACAAGCTAGCTGGAATAAAAAATTAAACTAGCTTATTTGAAAAGCTACCTAAACAAGCTTATCAAATAAGCTCGAGCTTTTTAAATAAGCTCGTCCTACCAAACGGGACTTATTTGAATACAGGAAGCTTATAAGCTAACCAAATAAGCTATAAGCTAGCTTATTTGATTTACCAAACATAGCGTAAACCTCGGTTGCTCCTCTCTTTCATTTGCTGTTAGCTCCGCGCGCAACTGCCAATATTTTCAGAAGAAGCAGCAGCAGAAGGCGGCTAAACAAACCTTCCGCCACGCCGGAGTCTGCATACATATATATTTGATATGCATTACCCTGTGTTAGAAGAATCTCAATCATCTGAGGACAACAAGAGAGTGAAGAAAGCAACTCAATTTGCGGAGATGGAGGTGGACGCCAAGAAAAAGATCAAAAAGGAGAAAAAATCCAGCAAAAAGACTAATTTAGCTTCCGAGCCTGATCCAGACGATTCTAATTCCAACCCTAACCCCAAAAAATGGAAAGGAAAGAAGCGAAAGGCACTGGAGTTTTGCGGCGGCGAAGATGGTGGTGATGAGGAGAAGAGCGAGACTAGCTCCGAGCAGATGAAACATTCGGGTAAGAAGAAAAAGAAGACGATGAAGCTCGAGGAAAATGGAGTAGTGGACGAGAAAGAGGAGAATCCGATTGCAGTTTTGAATTTCCGCATCTCAAAGCCGCTGAGGGATGCTCTCAAGGCGAAGAGAATTGAATCTCTGTTTCCGATTCAGGCCATGACATTTGATTTGATACTTGATGGTTCTGATTTGGTTGGAAGGGCACGCACTGGTCAGGTTAGGATCTTCCCATTTTTTTTTTTTTTTTTTTAGTAGCCCCCATTGGCGATTCGTCCTGCGAAACCCATTGGATTTTGTAATTTCCTAGCCTCTAATGTCCTTTTTCTCTCCATTTACTATATATTTGTTTTTATTTTTTGGGAATATTTCAGGGTAAAACGCTGGCTTTTGTGTTACCCATATTGGAATCATTAATAAATGGACCTGCTAAGAGCATCTTCAATGGTCCATGGATTGCTTCTTTTTATTGCCATATGGCATAGTTAATCTTATGTAGCACTCAAAATGTCTAGAAGCCTTTCTATGTCTAGAAGTACTTCTAGACATCCTCTATTATAGTTTTTATTATTATTTAAATATATATATCATCCTCAACCAATTATAATGTTACACATGTCAAATTATACTAAAATGGACTTTTTATTATTATTTAAATATATATATCATCCTCAACCAATTATAATGTTACACATGTCAAATTATACTAAAATGGACTTTCACCATTGGAGATAAAATTTTGTAGTTCTCTTTCTCCATGTTATACATCTCCAAATGGACTATATACCATTGGAGATGCTCTAATGCATCAGGGAGGACTGGATATGGGAGGCCACCTATTGTTCTTGTGCTTTTACCCACTAGGGAACTTGCCATCCAGGTATCATATGATTTTAGGGTGGAGTTGTCGCATTTCTCCTCATATCTTCACTTTTAATATTTGTTGCTATGGTTCTTCTTTTATTATCTTAGGTCTTTGATGACTTTAAATTGTATGGTGGTGCTTTGGGGTTGAGATCGTGTTGCATACACGGGGGTGGGGGTGCGGGTGCGGGTGCTTCATATCCTCTACAATAAAATCAACTGAGAAGTGGTGTTGACATAGTAGTTGGCACACCTGGCCGCATTAAGGTACATGTTTTCATTTATTTGCCTTAACTTTCTGACAACTTTTATGTTCGGACTTGTATCTTATGTAATTATGTAAATCATCTTGCAGGATCACTTACAGGACGGACGTATTGACTTTAGAGCACTGAAGTTCCGGGTTCTTGATGAGGCCGATGAAATGTTGAGAATGGGTTTTGTTGAAGATGTTGAATTTATTCTAGGTATACTTTTCGCTTGCTCTCTGCTCCACTACTCTAGTTATTGTATCCATGAGTGTTACATGCTTATTGATTGATGGTACTTGATGTTATTTTACTGAATGTCTTAAGGCAAGGTAGAAGATGCCAGCAAAGTCCAGACGCTTCTATTCAGTGCCACTTTGCCACCATGGGTTAAGCAAGTATGGTTTCAGCGTCTAAATATCTTATCGTTTGTTGTTGGATGCACACATCCTTATTTCTGCTATTACTAACTGGTATGTTTTGATGCTAGATATCTGCAAAATTTTTAAACCGGACAAGAACTGCTGACCTTGTTGGTAATGACAAAATGAAGGCTAGCACCAGTGTAAGGCACCTTGTTCTTCCTTGCTCTGTTTCAGCTAGATCTCAGCTGATTTCTGATATCATTCGCTGCTATGGTTTTTCTGTCTGGTCTTTTCTATGCCATAATCAATTTTCAAGCTTCTTTGTGTGTTGAGCTTCTGTCTGTGTTTTGTTTCTTTATCAGCTAACAAAGCCTTGTTGTTATGTTATCATTCTGTTGCTTAATTGGTGTTCTCCTTTTTAAAATTTAATCCAGTGGTGGTCGCACTATTATTTTCACTAAGACCAGGAATTCTGCTTCCACACTTGCTGGAGTACTTCCTGGAGCTCGTGCTTTGCACGGTGACATCCAGCAGACTACTCCTGAGGTGAGATTCTTCATGGTCACTTGTGTTTGTAGTAGGTTTAGTGTTCGCAAGATTTTCGTGATAGTGTAGCTACCAAGCAAGCTGCTTAAAATAATAAAAGTAATAGGCTTTTTACACTGATCGTCTTGAAAGACAACTGCTTTTCTGTTCATCTTCTGCTCGAATGGAAACTTTTATCGGTGATTTCAGGTTACACTTGCTGGATTTAGATCTGGTAAATTTTTTACTCTTGTAGCTACAAATGTAGAGGCACGAGGATTGGATATTGATGACATGCAGTTAATTATTCAGGTGTGTAGATCAATGAGCCATTGTTTCGTTTGTTCTTTGTCCATTTTTTGTGGTTTCCTTAAATGGCACTTGTAATGATGACATCCCTGCTGATGCTTCAGTGTGAGCCCCCTCGTGACGTGGAGGCATACATTCATCGGTCTGGGAGAACAGGGAGAGCCGGTAAGTTGCTGATAGAAATTTTTTTATTTGAATTGAAGATACTGTTGGAGTTTTATTTAAGAGATGGATTGCTCTGCTTTTATAAGGGGAAAGTGGTGTTGCTGTGATGCTTTATGAACCCCGAAAATCAAATTTCTCTAGGATAGAAAGAGAATCGGGTGTCAAGTTCGAACATATATCTGCTCCACAGCCAGCTGATATAGCAAAAACTGCTGGTGCTGAAGCTGCAGATAAAATAAACGAGATATCAGATAGGTATTGTTTTGATTTTTGTGCTTATTGTTTTTTCTTTTTTCCTTTTCTTTTTGCTCCTAACCATTTACACAACATATCTAATGCCTATCAACTCAAACCATGTAGTGTGGTTCCTGTGTACAAGGCTGCTGCTGAAGAGCTTCTAAACTCTTCCTATCTATCCGCAGTTGACTTACTTGCTAAGGCTGCTGTAAGTTTTGACTTCTCATGCTGGGTTTATTGGGTCACATACTTTGATTTGATAGTTGACACTCGGTTTTTTGTGTTCATGTTATGCAGGGTTATATTGAGATCAAGACCCGTTCGCTGCTCATTTCTATGGAGAACTATGTTACTGTAAAACTCGAGTGTGGAAAACCCGTTTCTACTCAATCGTAAGTAGTTGCCAATGATCTCAAGTTACTTTTTCAATTTCACACAATATTTTTTGAGGAAATTGGCTGAAAGCCTTTTTTCATATAATAGTAATTCTGGGAAAGAAGTGTATTTCGGTGTGTTAGATTTATATAGTCGGGAAAAGGGTGCGGTCCCATAGAGGTGAAACACACCATTAGAGGGTGAGCCTAGGTGTGCCTCCACCTAAGTGAGGTTCCATTGCAAAGCCAATTTGCCCCCTACAAATCAATGTGGACAACTCACAAAGTGATATCCCAACATGGTGGTTTTGTGTTCATCTCATATTATTTTCATTTCTTTTTAATCAACTTCTGTGCAGCATGACTATGAGGGCCAGTGTATTTGAGAAATTTGTTGAAAATATGTTTTGGCTGGTTGTGTTCATCTGTCTCCTTTAGTTGCTCATAACCCCTAGTCTTTGCAGCTTTGCTTATGGAGTTCTGCGGAGATTTTTACCGGAACATATAGTTGAGTCAATCAAGGATGTTGCCGTGACGGCTGATGGCAGGGGAGCTGTGTTTGATGTGGCTGCCAATGATCTTGACACTTTCCTTGAAGGTTGGTTATTTTGATTCACATTAATCCACACTGATTTCGTGAACAATGGTGAAAGTATACTTTTGGAGTGAATAAGTCATGCATTTATTCGTTATTTGCAGACTGGCTTATTGTACAACACTTGAGCTGTATGTTGTATTGCTCCCTGACCACTAAATTTATTTCTTAAATTATCTTAAAGGCACATTTCAGGAATTTGAAATGTGGCATCATTATTATTATATAGTATCTATCAGTAATGTTCACAGTTACATATGTAACCTTGGGAATGTAATCCTAAGTTTACATTGTGAAACCGAAACAATTTGTAGCAAGTGTTTTTATGTCTTTCACAACACTTGAGCTGTATGTTTTTACAATTCTCGTCACATGTTTGTATTTCACAAATTTTAATCTGTTAAGAGGGTAGTCGGGATGCGCGCATGAAATTACAGTGAGCAAAGATAAGCTGGAAGCTTCAGGGGTGTGCTATACTTGTAAATGACATTTAATTTTCTTCTGTAATTAACGGTAAATCAGATTGCTGAAATGTTTTATCCTCCTGAACTAATTTGCTTTTATGTCACAGGCCAAAATAATGGTGCTGGTGTAAAGTCTAGAAACGGTAAAAATTTTGCCGCCTTTGAAAGAAAAAGAAGAGTGGAGTGGAAGATTTGGCGGCTCTTCGAACAGGCGGTTCTCTGGCTG